AAAAAAAAAATATATTTTTTATTTTAAACTCGGTAAAGAATTTCGATGTGACCCTGAGTCAAAAGTTATTCAGTTTATTTTTCTGCATAACATGTTTTTTTTTTTGTGTCTTTTTTTTTTGCCGGGACCTCCTTTGGCCACCGCCCGGGCAAACAAGGTGACCCGTGCGGCCCGGCTGGTAGCCTACCGTCTTTCACCCGAATAGAACGCCCGGTCATTATAGCCATATTTGGTGCAACTTTCAGTCCACATACAGCGATAACGACCGGGCGTTCTATATTCGGGAGAAGACAATAGCAAGAAACAGAAAAGAAGAAACTGTGGCTGTGTCACACTTCAAGTTTTATTTTGAAATAGGCAAGAAAAAACAAAGAGGCGCTGGTGTCATGTCGTGAGTTTGAACATGTGCAAGTTTAGCGTCGGTTTAAAACTGTGTAAGTCCTTAGCCGCTGTAGTGAATGCAGTTTTTCCCATTTTTTCGGAACTGCTAAAGTTGCCCATTCTGAGCACGGGGTGCGACTTGAAAGTACTTGCGGCCCCCCTCAAAAAAAAGAAGTTCATCCCCAAAAAATGGCAAACAATGCCAATTTGCCAAACATGCTCTTACATGCACCAGTCAATCCTATACCTACAGCACTATTGTCGAATGACAGAATAATTGAGATATCTATTATCTAGGCCACAAACCAAGCTCAGACAGATGTATGAGCATGGAGCGATTAGTACCTGCTCAGTGCTCATAGAGTGAAACACAGCTCCTCTGGTGCACATCCTCGTCTTTGGCACTAGCTAGCTAGTACGTAGTCCCAGCCTCCCAGGTGTTTTGCATTAGGAATTCCAAGGAATACAGCATGCAGTCCCAAAGGTCTCAATGGTCCCAAAGGTCCCAAAGAACTGCTCACATACAGTGTCAGCCGAAGGAAGGCAAACATGCATCATCGGAAGTCAAGCAGAAGACTGCTCACTCTGACTCAGCGACTTCAGCGACTAGACACAATATGTTGGTCACGACTCGCGAGTGTACGAATAAACCCAACCATGAAGGGCCAAGCTCCCAAAGTTCCGCATCCAGCGGCTATGAGCCTATGCCATTGGCTTGATCTTCTTCAACATCCTGCCGCTTCCCTCTCTCCTATCCGTCCCTTACCCCTGCTGGCTTTCAAAAAAAGAATCTAATTTAAAAGAAAAAAGTTTGAAAAACACAGCTCTAGCCTCTAGCCACTCTACCCCAGCGGTGAACAGCACATACTAGCCCGTATGGATGGCTATTGAAAAAGCATCTGCATCATTAGTAAGGTCCGCACTGAAAGGGTGATCACTCGAAAATGTTGTACTGACAGCAGACACACTAGAACTTTCCTGAGTGCATCTGATCCCAATCATACATTGACATACAATGATGCCTGTGTTTTTTCGTACATCGGCTAAGTATTTACAGAAATTTCTAACAGGAAACCGAACTACAAGACACAGGATAGGGGAGAAGATTCTCTACTGATCGGCGGGCATCATTGGTATATTTGTTGGGGTAACCACGACTCAGTCACGAGAACAGTTTGAAAGTGCACTTCAGGCATTCCCCCGAACATAACACACCCCCATGTGACCCTACCGGACCCCAAACCTAGCTTGTATACATTTGACATTTTCAGACCTTTTGCCTCAACAAGCGCATTTTCAAACTCAAACCCTGTAGTTTCTCTATAATAGTCTTTATTCCTTCCCCCCCTCTCCCCCTCCCCCTCCCCCTCCCCTTCAGTGTGACAGCTTACCTTGAGACATTACGGTTCGCGGATCGCTGGCCAGTGTTGCCTGCTGCCGCACTGAGACTGTGTGCGACCTTTGCAAGTTTGCAGACAGCCAATTATCCGAGTCAGCCATGATTTTCTAGGGAGACCTTACCCCCCGCTTACCTCCAGCTGCCTAAGCCTTAGGGAGGCAGTTGTACAAGGCCTTCAGTTTCTCGGCAAGAATGGAAGGGAACTCTCATCCATGGTCCCCTTTTCTCACCTCCACTTCCTTTCCATCCCTTCCCTCCTTTCCCTCTCTTCCCTCTTTTCCGTCCCTTCTCTCCCTCCCTCCCATCCTCTGACCACCCCCTCCCCCATCCGTCTTCCACTCCCTCCCCCCCATCTCCTCGCCTCCCTTTCCCCCTTCACTTCCTTCCCCGTCCCCTTCGTATCCCTCCCTTCTTCCATCGTCCCTTCCCCCCCCCTTCCCCCCCCCCCCCCCCCCCCCCCCCCCCCCCCCCCCCCCCCCCCCCCCCCCCCCCCCCAACACCCATCCGCCGCCCCCCCCCCCCCTTTCCCCAGTGCACCTTTCTCCCATCTTCCTACCCCCCTTCCCATCCATGGCAACCCTCCATAAGGCTCCCTTCCCTTTCCTCCTCCTCCTTCCCCTCATCTGGCTCTCGGAGCCTCCCTTACAATGGGGTATGCTCCCCGCTTCTCACAATCAAAAGTAACACCTTTTCTGCGTAGACGGCTCTGTTGTGATGGTGTGATCCCATCCGTAGCAGAAGTCTAAGGGCATACCCACACTGGTAGCAAAATTCACAAAAATCGCAGATTCTGCGATAGTACGGGGTCACACAGCCAGAGAGCAGGTAATGAAATGGGTACGCAAATCCTCCAGCCTGCCTCACCGTGGGGGTATGCAATTTGCGTCCACCTCAAGAGGTGAGCACAAATGCATTTTGACTTTCCCAAGAGTTTACGAGAAAAAGAAGTCGGAAAAAGAAACAAAAAACAATCCCTCTTCGTGTGTGACTTGCACAATAACGCAAATTCTGACATGCAAAAAAAAAAAAAAAAAAAAAAAAAAAAAAAGTTGCGGGCAGTTAGGTGGGACCAGCATCCAACACAAATATCACAATTTAAAGCCGTAGCAAATGTCACATTTTTTTGTGATATTTCAATCATATTTGCATCCAGTTATGGCGCCACTCAGATGAGGGTGAAGAGGTACAGGGGACACTGTGCCCGTTTCCCAGCATTTTTGGTTTCAATCACTCATCATTATATGTCAAGGGACGCTGGACCCGCTTTCCAGCAATTYTAATTAAAAAAAAAAAAAAAAGGCCCGAGCTGGACTTCACTCCCTTTTTTTACCTTATGGAAATTTGGAAAACTCTCCCAACTTATCCTCCTCCTTTTTTTTAACTCTTCCAGTAACGTTGAAAGTTACTGCAGTGGTATTTCTGCTCTCATCAATTAAAAAAAAAAAAAGGGGAAAAAATCAGTGGTATTTCTCTTGGGCCTTAAGAGAGCTCCCACGTTGTTCTGCACCTCTCATCGAGAATTCGTTTCACAAACCCTGAGGCTCATTATGATACCGTAATTTTTTTATTTTTTTTTTATACAACAACACCCCCCTGCAATGCTAGGGGTGCTGATAAGAGCAGACACCCCTAGCACCCGGGGAGGGACTCCATCTATTGGTGGGGAGCATCACCTGCTGGAAAACGGGTCCAGCGTCCCATTGCAGATTGAATATAAGATGAGAATAGGCTGAATCAGAGGAGATAGCTGTGCACCCTGCCTGCATTGATTACTCTGGCAACCAGAGGATTGACTGTGCAGGTTGCTAAGGGAGGGGAGACAGCCTCTTCGCCCCAGTACCACGCGCCGGATGTCCATTTGCTAAAGCACTACCGTATGCTCGGTCACAGTAAGACTTTCCTGGATGTGTCTGGCCACCTTTACAGTCCGTCATGGATGTATTTGACCACAATGGCCTCCAGATATCAGTTGAAAAGTCCTAGACTAAGTCGAGTACTAGTATTCCTGTATTAGAAGGGGGCCAAGCTCAAGAGGGCCTTCTTTCTTTCCCCGCCTATTCTTCCAAGCCCGTTCCCTTGGTTGTGGTTTGGCAAGATGGTCAAAGGCGGTGTCTTTTTCAACAAAAAAAAAAAAAAAAAAAAAAAAGGGATGGTTTCATTGAACAGAAAATAGCACCCTCGGTCACAAGGGAAAAAAAAAATAAAAAATAAAAATAAAAAAATAGCACCCTCATTCGAGAATATCTTGAACCCATCCGAGTCTTTCCCGTCCCGTACAGTCATGATGGGGTTGCCCCTGAACGCAACGCAGAGTTGCAGACAGACTGATTAGGAATCTAGAGCCCATCTTTCCCCTCACGTAAAGCCCTGATGAGGGTGCTTCTGAACTCTACGCACCCTGATTAGGAACATCTAGAACGGTTACCCCATCTTTCGGGTCCCATACAGTCATGAAGGGTGGTGCAAAGTAGTACAGAGAAGCACGTGCCCATGACTCCATTTCTCGATTTATTTATGCGTGTCATCCTTGAGCAGGGGCCATGCTAAACTTCTCTGTATCGTTCCAATTGTAAACGGATGTCCCCGCGCCCGTTGTTCCCCATCTTTCAGTAATAAAAAATAGGGGGAAGTACGTTTATGTCACATGGGAGTTTGTAATGGGCAGAAAAAACAGGCATCAGCGTCTGTGTCAGGGCCTGAGTTCGAAAAGGCATTGGTAACTCAGGTCTGCGGTGGTGTCAGGGCGGAGGTTTCATTAAGGCGGTTGGTTTTTTTTTTTTTTTTTTTTTTTTTTTTTTTTTTT